CCCTACACAACCTGTAGGTGTGCCTGGGATGCCATGGCCCAGATGTAGGACCTTGCGCTTCAGGGTGGTACTTCTTCTTAAGTAGCTCTTTAGGAATACCAGAAAAGAATGCCTGAGCATCTTCTCAAAATAAATTGAACATAATTTCATGAAATTATTGTCCAGGCAGACTTGGAGTCTACATTGATTTGCAAGTAGTTGTCATCTCTGCTCATGTGAGTGCTTTCTTAAAACTCTTAATTCCCTTTGTTAACAAGGTGTCCTGTGCATTGCTTGTTCAAGTGTCCCACAACAGTGCAGGTGACAAGGTGTAGCAACCTGAACAGCAGCAGAAAATTGACTTAGACCTTCAGTGTCCAAATCAGAGGCACAAATTTGTCTTTCTCTTACAGAACATTCAGAGGATTTAGTTCACAGGGACTGGATTTCTCCCTTCCTCTTTAACCTTAGAGTCATGGAATAGTTTGTGTTGGAAGGGGCCTTTAAAGGTCATCTAGTCCAGCACCCCTGCAATGAGCAGGGACATCTTCAACCAGATCCATCAAAGAAGATTGATATCTTTATCTTAACCAATAAAACAAATTGTTTTAGCCAAGTAAGTTAGATATATTGCACATGGGAAATAAAACAAGAATATCTCAGTTAGCTCTCATCACCAGTCTTTATACTGGTCACAGCCACTATCTGATATTACTCCATATCTGGAACTCTCACAAAACACATATTTACCTTGAGGGAAAAAACCACGAAAATTCCCAGGCCAGAGCTTACCCTTTGCACCAATTGGTCCAATTTTTCCAAGCATTCCCTGGTCACCAACATCTCCCACCAGTCCTTTGTTTCCTAAGAGAATAAATAAAGAGGAAATGAGTATGAACGGTTTCTGAAATTTCTTTTCCAAGGCACTGCTTAGGTATCTAATGCTACTATTTTTCCTGAGAGTGGCCAGTCTATATGTGTGGCAAAGTCAAAATGAGCAGAGCCCTGAGGATGTTTGGAGGAGTACAGTGCTGATCTCTGTGTACTGTAGGGTACAACAGTAGGACATTGCAAGGCACCTTAGTAGAACTGCCTGTTTTATTGTCCAGAAATGTCCTATTTTCTTACAGAAAATACAAACTAAAACTGCTAGTTGATTTTACTTCCCAGTCAAACCAGACTGCCAGCAGGTTTTATTTGTACTTTTTTTTCTCCACCCAAGACAAAAGTCTTTCTGTCTTCCTTGAGGTAAAGTCCTTGCTGCTTTGCTGGGAATCCTTCTCATAGCACGACTGCAAGTAGGAAGTCATTAGTTTTGCTGTAGTATCCTGATGTACTACTAGGAAATAACTTTCAAAATTCAGTTTCAACTAAAGGATCATTTCAGTAAGAGATCAGTAATCTTTCTGATTGATCCAGTATGATCAGGGTCTTCTGGATCACACTCATGACAGCCATATATTGTTGTTTTACATATCGGTATGAATTGCACCAAGCTCTCTAAGTATTGTTAGGTTCACTGATTAATGTTTGACAGGATTGTGAAATCCACTGGTGCAACAGGAATTAGAAGCACTAAACATTGCCAAGCATATGCACTAGTACAGTTGTGTATAATGATATTAATATACCAGTAATAGCCAACAAACTGTCATAAATACCTTTTGGTCCTTTAGGTCCAACCTTTCCTTGTTTGCCTACTTCTCCTCTATCTCCTTTTTCACCTTCATCCCCTTCCAAAAAAACAGAAAATAAAACATCATGGTACATTTCTCTCAGTGCAGTAAGTACAACTATACATGCTCAGAAAGTTTACAGGTTCTTTTTTTCCTACCAATCTATTTTTATTTCACATTGAAGGCACAGTAGCCATGAGATAAAATTCCAGAGAAGAGATGATGAAGCTGACCATCATTAGGAAAAGCTAAAAACTTTCCCTTTCAGAGGGCTTTTACAACATGAGAATTGCACATCACCAATTTCTACTCCTATGCTTTAAGCCTTATTAGCTATAAAGCAGATAAATAAGCCAGTCTTTCTCTATTGGGAAATTGCTACACACATGGACAAACTGTCAGGGGAGGCAGTAAGTGTTTATTAATTCTTCCTAGTGATTCTGTTCCTAATGACTCTGTGTTCAAGGTATGCAGATGCTTTTGGAATGGAAGGAATGTAAATATGTTGAAATAGATCTTAGCATAGACTTTGGCACTTAATATGGCACAGTTCTTGCCTTCGGTTTTTGATAGATGACATTTGTATGTTGATATAGCAAACTTGTTTTGCAATTACTCCTGTGCTTTATTTTGAAAAGGTCACACAGAGTATCTGTAAGAGGCAAAAGCACTGCATTTATTACCCTAATGCAGAGATCTCTCCAAATGAGATCAAGACCTTATTACACAGGTTCCTGTATAGTACTGTATAAAACTTTTACTGTTGTAAGAGACCGTCTCTCACTGCACAGCTTACAGTCTAAAGGTGGAAGTTAGCACCTTTGGAAAGAAATGTTGTCTCCTTCCTTAGGTAGTATTCAATGTTGCTTCACATTATGCAGGAAATTTGAGGCACAAGAGGAGCTGATTTTCTTATCTTCTACTTCTTAGTTTTGAGCCAAGTCCCAAGAAGGTACTTCCTCTTTTTTTTTTTTCCAGCAGATGCAGAGAGGGAACACAGCTCACCTGCACCAAGTGGCCAGCACTGAATACAGGAAGCTTTCCAAAGCCTCTCCCCTTGTTCCCTGCCCTTGTTGGCAATAGGCCTTGCCATGCAGTGGGAAGCAGTGCCACAGTCTCTTGGCCCAGCCAGGATCTCAGTGTGAGTGGCAGACAGTCATGTCTGTGCCTTCATCCCAGAAGGGGAGAAAAGGCTGTGGTTCAGCACATGGAGAGAAAAGAGAGGGAAGTCTTTCTGGGTGTCAGCAAAAGAGGAATGAGAACTAAACAGCATTACGTGACAAGACCAGTAACCTGTCTCACTGAGGATGGTACCTGCAGCCCTGGCAGAAGGCATTTGGGGAACTGTACTGAGGGTGACTGTGACCCAGGCAGACACTTCCAGCCTCTCAGAAGCAGTGGTTTAAGGGCTTACCTGAGCCAATCACCACATCCAAACTCCTTGTGAACAGCCACTGGTGATTCTTCCTTGCACAGATTAGCCTTCTGCCTTTTATACTAATTTATATTTTTGACTCTTATAATAAATATCCTGTGGCAAAGAGCTCAATGATTTTTTAATGTGCTGGGGAGAAAGTACTTTGTCATGGCTGCTTTAAGACTGATCATTTCATTGGTCTCATTATTTTTTTCTGAAAAATACTGCTCACTCATTCCTGATTTACCTTCTTCTACTTCTGTAGTCATAGGTATCATATCATGGGCTGTTCACTGGAGTGATAGCAGATGAGGAGTGCTGCATATTAATTGCAGCATATAAAATGTAGTTTTAGCTGTTTGGCACCTTTCCATGCCAGCTGTGTGGACTGAGCTGAGTCTGTCCCTGTATGATGAAAAAAACCCTACAGTGTTGGGACTCTCTTGTAGGGAGTAGACTCACTCAGTTGTTCAGGACGCCCTTTGTGGGGATAGTTGGTGACACATGCTGAGGAAGATAAAGGGCTGAACTTCAGCCCATGTTGGAGGGAGGAAACAGTTACTAGAAGGACGGACAAGGAGGAAATATGATGTGGTGTATGTGCTCACTCACTCAGGCACTTTGTTTTTAACATCAGCTGTCACAAGACAAAGTAGGAAAAGAAAAGGCTATAAGCGTTTGTGTCCCTGCCCACAGCGTGGGGGTTGGAACTGGATGATCTTTAAGGTCTCTTCCAACCCAAACTATTCTGTGATTGTACTGATCATCAAACAACAGAGCTAGAGAATGTATGTTTTAATTTTGCTGTTGACCTCAGTGCCAACAAGAAATTGTGCTTTCCAAACCCATCTGTGAAACCGTTGCGAAAAGTGCAAAAGTCGCTTCTCAGTAGTTCGGAAATTCAGAAGAGATTCCCAGAGGCTGACACAGGGCTTGTGAAATGAAATTCTGGGAGAAGGTTAAGAGCTGATCTGACTGTGGTCTGCACACCCATACAAGGGGAGAAATGTATGATAATAGAAAGGAAGCAGGGCATGATTCAAAGGCTGGAAAAGCTGGATTAATCTTGACTAGAAGTGCAACATGGAGATATTTACTAAATGAACCATGTTCTCTGACAAGGGAGGGAGATGCGGGACACTTTTCATGGCCAACCTTTCTCCATGCAAGGAATTCCTTTGTGTAAAATATGCTGTAATTCTGGGTCTGGCATAGAAGTGGCTGAGGGAGTTTCTTTGGCTTGAAGGAAGCAAAACAGATTCCTGTTGACCTTCCAAACCAGGGTTTGTCACCCTGACAGTTCTCATCACCTCTCTCAGAGTAGCTACTTATATTCCCTGTGGCCTACAGGCTGCTCTGTGGGGTCAAAGGCTCCAGAGAGATTTGTTTGCTGCAGAAGGAAGATCTCTCTGCACGATGCCTTTCTTTTTTGGCTTGGTTGGTTTATTTTTGGGGGGTTTGTTTTGTTTTGGGGTTTTGTTGGTTTGGTTTGGTTTTGGGATTTTTTGTGGGATTTTTTTTTGTTTGTTCGTTTGGAAGAAGCATTTCTTAAGACCATTAATCTTATAAATAGAGCCAAAGAAAGAATCATAGAATAATCATAGAATCAGCTAGGTTGGAAAAGACCTCAAAGTTCGAGTCCTACCCTACTGTGATTACTAGACCATGGCACTAAATGCTACATCAAGTCTCATCTTGAAAACCTCCAGGGATGGTGAATCCCCCACCTCCCTGGGCAGCCCATTCCAATGCCTGATTACTCTCTTCACATAAAAAAATCTCTTCCTAATATCTAACCTAAACCTCCCCTGGCAGAGCTTGAGTCTGTGCCCTCTTGTCCTCCTGGTGGGTGCCTGGTAGAAGAGACCAACCCCCCCCTGACTCCAACCTCCTTTCAGGGTGTTGTAGAGGGTGATAAGGTTTCCCCTGAGCCTCCTCTTCTCCAGGCTGAACACCCCCAGCTCCCTCAGCCTCTCCTCATGGCACTTGTGCTCCAGTCCCTTCACCAGCCTTGTTGCTCTTCTCTGGACCTGCTCCAACACCTCAATATCCTTCCAGAACTGAGGGGCCCAGAACTGAGCACAGGATTCAAGGTGTGGTCTCACCAAAGCAACTCCCTGGCCCTACTGACCACGCTGTTCCTGATCCAGGCCAGGATGCCTTTGGCCTTCTTGGCCACCTGAGCACACTGCTGGCTCATGGTCGACGAATTGCTAAGCAAACATGCCTATCCCTAGACTGTCATTAAATGGAGCAACTGAACGAGATAACACTCTACAAACTGGGACTCAATATGCAAGTGGAGAAGATGTGATTACTTTCAAAAAATATTTTATTCCTATCTCAGTTTCAACATTTCAAGCCACTGAAAGCTGCAGTGACTTTTTCTGAGAGACACTGGAGCAAGTTTTTGCACATGGGGTTGCTGGAAATGAAGCTATGTTGTCCTGTCTGGACCATCAGACCAACAGCTGAAAGGAATGAAAGGTGTGTGAAAGTTTGTTCTAGAGGTTTTGAGAGATCAGGGAGTGCCTTGTGTAGTCCAAATTTTTACTTAATCCCTCGAAAAGCCTGAGGGAGAGGGAAGTAAGATCTATCATGTTTCATCTTGGTGGAAAGCAACCTACCAAATTGTCTTAGTTTCCCTATCCAGGAAAACAGGAAGAATAGTAAATTTGTCTATCTGTAAGGGAGGGTAATCCTGCTTTTCTCTCCATAGGTCGTCTGAGAATAGTTAGGCCATTACAAAACAAGTGTAGAAACAAACAGTATTAGTTAGTGGTACCATCTCATTTTTAATTTAAGACTGGATTAAGACCAGTGCTTGCTAATATGGTGTTAAATTGTGTCGTGACCTCCTTTAGTTGCTGTGTGGAGTGATCTCAAATTTTGGCCTGAAACATGAACTCTTGGGTTGTGCTCCCCTCTTGTGGTCTGGCTATGATTTGCAACCAGGTAGGAGATTGTGAGAGGCTGGCTGACTGTTTTGGGCAGCCGCTGAATTGGCTTCGTTTCTAGTTTATAGCAAGTATCCTTCCCTTTCCTCTGGGACTTCATGTGGACAAGCCATCCCACTGTATTAGCCACCTATTTTAATCTTCCAGGAAAAAAAATCTGTCCTGCTAGTACTCTGGATTGGGTTTTGAAATTTTGTAGTACTGTGCTTTGTGCAACATGAGTTTTCTGATCCCTGACCTCATATGTTTTTACCTATACCTAGAGGTTAACCTCTCTTTTGTGCTGCTTTATGCTTGGGGCAGTGTAAGGTAAATGTCACCTTACAACTGTGGTTGCAAGGATGTCAGATAATGCACTGCACTGGTATTTGAAGCATGAGTGAAGAAGCACTTCAAGGCAGTAACTGAAGTAAGACCATTTCTCAACCTTGGTAGCATTCCCTCAAATTGATTAATTTATTCGTGTCACAGATTATTACTAAAATGAACCCATGAAACAGTTAATTACTAGAGTCTTCCAGTTTGGGACTGTGTGAGGCAGAAGTAAAGCAGAAGCCACAAGCAGTTGGTCACTTTTGCAGCCATTAGAAAATTTTAATTGTAATTGAGAGGGAGCCACAGTCCTTCCTTCTCCTGTAAACATGCTGAAGAAAATGCTGAAGGTCTAATCAACAGCAGAATTT